GAGATATTGGAAGATGCCCTTCTCTTCACACCCAGTTCCAGCAACCGTTTTAAAATATGCTTTAGCCTCCATCTTTGTTGCTCTTCTTTGTACTCTTTCTGGAGTCTGAAGATCTTATTTATTTATTATACAAAACGCAAAGAAAAATAGAAATAGGAAATTAAGGGAAGGAGAAAGAGAGGGGAAAAGAAAGTCTGAGGTACAAAAAAGACGTTGACTTCTTTTTAGGACAGTGCAAGATTTAAAAAAAACATTCTAGCCTGACAATTCACTCTAATGGACGAAATCAAAATCATTTTGGTCTGTTTCTTTTGAACACTTTAAATGTGAAGACATTCAATTTAACGACTGGAGAAGGAAAGGGCACAAGGGTTTCAAACACCACAATGTGGCTGAGTGAGGGCGGGCTCCCGCCTGAGGGGATCTGAGCTCTGATTGGTTGCTGAGGGTGGAAAGGGGGCGTTTCCCTTGTTTCCCGCCTTTTCCTTCTGGGCGCCGTTTGAGATTTACCTCAGGATGTTCCCGACTGTCTTCTCTGCTGCGAATGTTGAATACATTTATATTGATATAAAACTAGAAGTTTGTATCCTTGTCTCCCTCTTTATTTGGACGGCTGCTGCGTGATTCCTCCACAATAAACCTCTTCAGTTGCACCTTCCAATTGTGGGTTTCATCCCAGGAAGTTTCGGTGATAGCAACAATGTCACACCTGCCTTTGGGCTCCATGTCCACCCTGTTTATTTTTCATATTTTGAGCATCTGTGCATCTGAGTCTCTTTTTGACTAACTGTGTTTGCTTTCTACATCCCCTCTTTTGTGTCCGAGTTCCCCTTTTTTCTTCCAATTTGGTTGATTCCTGTGAGGTTTGAGTTCGGAATTAGCTTCTAAAACTTCGTCCTCTTCTCACTTCGGTTTCACTTTCAAGCGCTTCGGATGAGGCGAGCCAGTCGGTGTCAAAGCCGACCTTCTGAGTCCTTGTGAGGGGGAGCTCATCCGCTGCCAGAAGCCCCCCATGGCGGTGCTGTGGACCATGGTCCATGAATGCGAATTTCCCTCGAGGGAACCGTCACGGAAGCCACCCAAGGGTGCCTGGAGATGTTTGCGGCGCCCTCTTGCTAGCCCCAGCCCTGCCCACTGCGCCCGTTAGCCTTGCAGCCGAGGGCCCCTCTCTTCCGCAGCTCCGGAGCAGGCGGGCAGCACGGCGGTTGCTTAAGGTGGAAGCAAAGCCCAGCCTGTCTCTTTCAAGCAATCAAGTGTCTGTGTTGGGGGGGGGG